AAGCTATGTCCTGAAAGAGCCATGCCTCAAAGCATGAGAGTTAGAAGAAAGAAACGGGATCTTATGACCCTTTATAACTGCTTCAGGGGACACCTGAGGATCGGCAGGCTTGAGTTACGTCCTGTCGAGACAAGACACACACAACAGCCTCAACACCATCAAACAGTCCGGGCACCGAAACGCCCGCATTTCCAAACACAGCCTTTCTACACCGGCTATCCTATTATGAACGAGACACGAGAAAGTGCAGGCGGCGCAAGGAGACAGAATAGGACTCGAAGCCTTGGTCTGTTGCCACAACCGAAGAAGCGGTCTCGAAGTTGATGCCAATTTGACATCTGCATCAACTTGTAGTGGTGTGAAGACTACCTAACCAGGTATTTGGCTCCAGAATGTCTCATTTATCTACAGAGCCGGTATACTTTTTACTTTGTGTATTATTGATCTGTGGCAAGAAGTGGTTGGGACAGGAACAGAACCAACACAGGCCAATAATTACGAACCCACCCTCCTAATGTGCACATTCGTTTTCAGCCTGCTGCATACGACAGAGAAGCGGTGAAGCTTGCATCAGTCATCTAAATGGATAACCTCTTGTCAATGATGCATTATGTATTCGAAAGGGGGTGGCATTCATGTAGGCAAGTGCCGTATCTGATTTTTCTGCATCGATCCTTTGATGCATACACGATTCTGCATGCTTTGCATCGCTTAGTTGATTGACAGCTGGGACAGCAGAGAGAAGAGACAACTTGGCCATTCAGGTCATGAGGCTCTTCGGGGAAATTTCCAAAGGAGTCAGCCTCGTGGGGAGGCTCGGCCTTGTTTGAGGCCACCCATTCAAGTATCCCGATACAGAGCGGTGTGTCCTATTCACAGCCATTGACGCAAGCATGATAACAGAAGATATCATCTGGACATAAGGACGCGGCCGTAAAGAGCCGGGCGTATTTTCAGTTGATCTCCCATATGCTTGCCCTTCTCCAAAGATATCCTTAGCATACGGATGCGATCCGGCCCCAAAGATATCCACTTGTGGTTGCTGACACTTGAGACAGACGCACCCCAATCCCAATTCGTTAAGATTAGCATATAAAAGGATAATTAATGACTCGTTCCAACCAACGATATCTCGAGAATCTTCCCCCCTTTATGTTTTGAACCCTGGCAGATCTTACATGCCGCGCATAGCCACGTGGAATGGAAGGGCCGTGCCTTGAGCTTGGATTCAGCTGGAGAACAACCCTGTTGCGTACGCCATATGAGTATTAGTGAGTCTGCTAGTAATAACAAACACGAATTCGAGAACCGATCGACATGTCTGTGAGTCTTGGTAAGTTTCAGATTCATCAAGACTGATTTCCAAATATTTGAGGGAGGCATACGACTTGCCATGTTGAGTAACTTGTGCGTAGCTTACAAGGTTGTGGCAACATCATATAACAAGAAATAGACAGCGAGCCAAATATTTTAGTCGTTTTATTGCAGTCTATCATCCTTTGTTCAGCAGAAAAGAAGAAGAAACGCGCAATAAGATGTCAAGTCATGTATACCGATGATGCTAGGTCCGGAGGGCTCATAGCTCTTGTGGCAAAGGAAACAATGTGATCTGTGTATCTAAGATGAAATAAAACCATGGCATTGTAGAGACCTGTTATCGTCTAGACAGGGAGCCACTGTGTCAAAGCTTGCCCTTATCCTCCGGGGGGTCAGCCGCCTTCATCTTTTCGGCTGAGCCCGTCGCTAGCACAACACCAGGATTCTTCACCACAGGAAACCGAAGCAATCGCTCTTGAAGGCAAGAAACATCGTAAATGAATCTGTTGAGCATGCAAGCATCTTCTGGAGGCCTGGATGCAACAAGTCAGTTGCCTGGTGACTGGTGATTGCTGAGTGTTACTTGCTCGTCTCGAGTTTCCAAAGCAGGGACTTGAAAATCAATATCTTTCGAAGGCATTGCTTATAGATTGGGAGTTCTTGACTGGGGAAAGGGAATGAAGAAGTGATGGGAGAGAAAATTCAGGAGGGTATCTGGGAAAATGGGTTCAACGCCTTTCACGGCTTAGATCTGAGGAGGAACTTCAAGAAAAGGGGTGTCGGGCCTAAGCATGAGATGAACTAGCAGTTTCAGAGCATAAAAAGAGAGCAGAGGGAAGTATAGAAAGGGAACCTGGGAGAAGAGGGGAAGTCTTTATAGCCCTGGAGTCAGTGCTCCGGGGCTGTAGCAAGTCAACTCTAGGTCAACTTGGTCAGCTCGAACACTGAGAAAATGGGGGGAAATGGGGGAAGCGGAGCAAGATTGGGAGAGCTCCGTGACGGGACCTCAGAGAACATAGAACGGGCGCTTACAGACCACAGGCTTGAACCAATGACTCCCGAGCATCCGGGCCGAGATGTGGGTACACATACAACTCCGTGTGATTCGGGAAAAGCGGGGATTTCGGGGCTCTTCCGGTCAAAATCCCGGTTCATGGCGTTGCGACTAGGCGGCCTTGGGTTAAGTGGAAGACGGATACGGAAGGTCTCAAGAATTGAGGTGGGATTCGAGTAATACTTTTCCTTGGAGAGCTACAAATCTTCGCATGGTGTTCAGGGGTTGGCGGCCATGATAGAAGTGTGTAAGATTTATACTAGGAACTACGACATATATGATGTGAAATCGCAATAAAGAATAGCCCAATAGTAATACACCAAGGTAATATCGCAGCTTAATCCATTTATATGACTGAAAAAATAGAGATCAGGCTGTAAAAGCCGTCAAACAGTCTTAGGAGGTCTAGTATATACCGCGACTATAGGAGCTCAAAGTCGACTCTTCATGGAAGAAGGTTCTTGCATCATAGAATCCAGATCTTGGACTTCAAAGCCTCCATAGTTTTCCTGTCCCGAAATTTCAGACACGTTTTTGGCTGATTCTGGCGCAGTGTTGGTGGCTTCGGCTCTGCATAGGAGATGCTCCTGGACAGAATTGGTGTCGTAGATGTACGGCGCCAGCATCAAGCCGCGACATTTGGTCCTATAGAATGTCAGGATGAGACATCTTGGAAGATATTCTGACTAACGGCTTCCGCTCATCTGTGCTGTTTGTTGGAGTTTGTGGATTCTGGGAAGCCATGACTGGTAGATACACACTGCAGTGCTCTTGTCGTGATAAAAACACAAGAATGAGAAGAGAGATGGTCGAATGAATGAGCTGGGTCACCGCTTCTCAAAGCCCAAAATGGCGAATAGGAGAGAGCAAGAGACACAGAGAACACAATGGAGATCGGACGTTGATAGCAAGCAGTCAGAAGGGCGGTTCATTTCTTCAAGTTATATAGTTATCAGGTCCTGGATCCTCACAACGATTCCAACCATCCCAGTCTCTGTCACCTCTCAGCTCAATCATGAGTGGCTTGATGGACAGATGAGGCACCTGCATAAATCAAGATTTGAATGCGCATATGCCGACTGGTAAGAGGACTCGATCGGATCTATCATATTTCTTCGATCGAGAACTGTTCCTGTTCAGGTATAGTGTGGCAGCAAGAGCATGACTGGAACCAACTGTGGTATACGAGGTGACTGAGAGAAGAGAGATAATTGACCACATATCATGTTGCTCTCAGACCTGACAACGGGTACAACGACCAGCCCCCCCTCTGGTATTGTGCCAAGATACATTGTAGTATCGACTTATGGACTGCTACGGCTAGGTGTGTGCATGTAGGACTTCCCGCGCCAGAGTGAGACATCGGCAGGTTTGACTATCAACGTACGATGTAATGCAGCCCAAGATGAGATTAGGCATTCATAATGACGGCTTAGAGATGAGGCAACTGGGCCCTGGCATCGTGACTGGATGTCTTGTCCAGTCCCGGTAGTATGGGCGCCAGGATCTAGATAAAAGTTTAGGGGGATGCATATGCAGTCATACAGCCGACCTCCCCAACACGGTACCTGCAAAGATATGACTCGACAAGAGTCTTAAGGCAGATCGTTATTACTTCCGAACCCCTTGACCAGCTGTTCACTCCCCAGAGAGCTGAGACGCCACAGTTGTGTTCGAGACCAACTGGTTGCCATCAACTTCGTAGGAAGTCGTTCTGGTCTGCGACGACTTTACAGATTAACAATAGTATGGTCATAGTGCAGATGACTGTCAGCGACCATCTAAAAGATTTAATTGCCTACCTTGAACATTTGACTGAGACTGGTTTATCAAGAAGTAGAATGTGATAACTGATTGACCTTACACAAAACACAAAACCAACCCCACAAGTCGACGTTGAACACGTTGGTGGCAGCTAGACTAACTAAGCCGTTGTGCTAGTTTCGGAATTGTAAATATCGATCGCGCACTCTCGAGAAAGAATGATAAGTGACAAGAGATAAAAACATTGTAAGGTCTTCCGTAGTGACACCCTATCACATCTCAATTGTGTGCTGCAGCCTCAAAGAATGATTCGCTGGCTCCCCTGTCTAAGATCAGATCATGTTGAGGACACGGACGCAACCTGCATATATGTAAGATGCCTGTCCCTGTCCACTGCCAGGTGCAGTTGTTCTCGCGTTATCGCAGCAGCTGGAATTGCCGGATCTCATCATGCATCTGGCCGCATGGGGCTATGTCCGATCTGCCTTGCGGAGGTATGTTGTATTCGGTTGTAGAGGTCTGATATACATAGTAACTCTAATCTCTCAATATTTGCTGTGGCTTGTCTCGAAGCCAATGATCGACGAGCTCGGTTGTTCATCCGCTCAATCCTCCGCCCGGCACGTATGTCGTGTGCTTTCTTTTTATGACAGCTAATCCGTTCAGTTGAAATTTATCATATTTACCTGTTCGGAACGTGCTTCTATCATTTTCAGTTACGAACAAGGGCCCGACCGTTTTGGAGGATCATGTAATCGGTTGCCTGGTCTGCTTACCGACTCAGCAACAACACATGCGTCTCCAAAGAGTAGCAAAAGTCTCTCACTTATCAAGACACCTTGTGCAGTAACTCTCAACAATCAAACCTAATGAGGTGTAGTGGTCAAGCATTCCGACATGACACACGGAGACGCGCACTGCGCAGAACCGTGTCCAAAAGGGAGGAGGAGACCCTGGTTCGAATCCTGGCATTAGGATCTATTTTTGACTCCATTCTTTAATATTCCGTCTGATTCTTTGACTGGCTTTATGGATGGATGTGCTTGGTTGTCTTCCATGAGCAAAACCTTGTCACTATGTAGGTTACAACAGCAAAGGTTAAAGAGCCACAGTACAAGAAAGAAAGGCATATGAAAACAACAGGGTTAACTCACGATGCACTCGCATGAGACTGAGCCTCTCAGTCGAAATACTTACATATCTAGACTAGCATGTGTGGAAATATCCGAAATGCATTGAGAGACAAACCATGATGGTCCATGTTGAATGCCCGTATAAGTCGACTAAGCTCCACTTTTCCCGGCGATGGCCCGCTCGCCGCCGGCCCCCGAAGGTTCCTGTCTCCACCCACTTAACCCCTCCCCCACGTCAGTATTTGGAGCTTCAAGCTGATAAGGGCAGCCTCTGTATTCTTATCTGAAGCTCCCCCTCCCTAGTTTTAGCAACAAAACTTTCCTCGAGCTAGATTTACTCAAGAGCTGTTCATCATGTCACACTCTCACGACGGTCACTCTCACTCCCCCGATGGAGGCTTCAATGCTGTTGAGCATGGTCACTCCCATGAGATCCTCGATGGCCCTGGAAGCTTTCTGGGTCGCGAGATGCCCATCGTAGAAGGACGAGAATGGTCCGAGAGAGCTTTCACTATTGGCATTGGAGGGTGAGACTTTCAAACTCAATCGTGATGGCAAAGCTGACTTGATTAGTCCCGTCGGTTCCGGAAAGACTGCCCTCATGCTCGCCCTCTCCCTTGCTCTCCGAAAGGAATACTCCCTCGCGGCTGTGACCAACGACATCTTCACCCGTGAAGACGCAGAGTTCCTTACCCGAAACAAAGCTCTCCCACCTCCTCGCATCCGTGCCATTGAGACCGGTGGTTGCCCACATGCTGCCGTCCGTGAAGATATCTCCCAGAACCTCGCTGCATTGGAGGACCTGCACCGCGAGTTCGACACCGATATTCTTCTTATTGAATCAGGAGGCGACAACCTCGCTGCGAACTACAGTCGTGAACTTGCCGATTTCATTATCTACGTTATCGATGTCAGCGGCGGTGACAAGATTCCTCGGAAGGGTGGCCCTGGTATTACGCAGAGTGATCTTTTGGTTGTGAACAAGACCGATCTGGCTGAGATTGTTGGTGCAGACCTTGGTGTTATGGAGAGAGATGCTCGAAAGATCCGAGAAGGTGGGCCAACGGTCTTTGCGCAGGTGAAGAAGGACGTTGGGGTCGATCACATTATCAGACTGATCAAGAGCGCATGGAAGGCCAGTGGCGCAGAGGAAGAGAGACGAAGCAAGGGAGGTCCCAGACCAACAGAGGGTCTGGAGCAGCTGGAGTAGACATTCACATATACATCAAAATGGACAGTATTGGAAATAGTCATATAAGAGAAAAGGAAAAAACGCCAACTTTTAATTCTAAAGGTATACTGGGTGTCATGTCTATGCCTGGTCATCCATCATCATATCGCCATCAGCTTGCACTGCGCTCGGCTCGATCTCCAATAACGGTCCCTCCACAGGAGTAGCATTTCGTGGCCACACTCGCTTGTAGAGACTGACGCCGATGGAGTCTTGCGGATTGATACGCCCATCGAATGTTGCTTTGAAGTAACCATGCGTACCGAGAGGCTCCTTGACGAAACCACTGCGGCCACGCTTGGTCCATAGAGGCAGAGCCTTGAACCACTCGACATCTTCTCGGTTGAAGAACATGTATCGGATAGTGACGATCTTCTTGTGAATGTGGTAAGGATGGCCAGTGAGGATGATGCGCTTGGCGATGACGCGAGATGTGGATGGTGGCAGAGCGGTTCCTGTACCGATGAGTGAAAGACCAATGTGAGGGCCATCCTCGTTCTCGTCTTTCTCAACCTCCTCAGCTGTGGTTCGCTTGAAGAACAGAACAGGCACAGCACCCCATGTTAGAGGACCCATAAAGGTCGCAATAGCTGACTGACCGGGGTGGAGGAACCGGCAGTACTTGTGAACGTCGTTCGGTGTTTGTCCAGGCTGGGAGAAGAGAGGCTTGATAACCATTCGGCGAGGTCCGCACTGGACAATAAGCTCCTCCTTAGCCTTGATAGACTTGGTGAAGTCGGAGCTGAGATTGAAGAGGTAGTTGACAGCCGTCTTCTTGTTCTCATGTCGTAGAAGAGAAAAGAGGGTGAGTGGCTTCTTAGGATTGTAGGTCTTCTCCTGAATAGGGGAGATGCCCTTGATGTAAATGTGAACACGGGTACCAGGCTCAACACCACCGACCAGAGCCTCTCTTGTGGCTTGAGATTTTGAGGATTGATAGTTTGGAACTTGGAGAAGACGTCTCCACTCCTCAGGCTCATGTGCGCGATCCTCATCCTCCTGCCAGGTACTGGTTCGCAGACTCTTCAGACCACGATATCTGGCCAGACGTTCTCGGGCCAAAACGTGAGGGTGCAACTCAATCTCATCGGGAAACTCCATATCGTCCTCAACCTCATTTCGCTTTCCGGCTCGATATTGCTCAAGTTGCTTAGCATCCTCCTCCTCATCTGGCTCAATCATCATCTCTGATTGAGGATATTCTGAGGGAGCGCCCTCAGTGGCGGGTGCAGGGGCATAACCCTCAAGACCGTCCTCAGGGCGGGCCTCCTCATCGCCGGCCTCATCCTTCATCTCAAAGTCCTCCATATCGGACTCTGAGTCCGAGACATCCTCCAGATACCAAGCTGACTGGTAGTTGGATGTACCCTTGGGGACCTTCTTCTTGATCTTTCTTGCTTCAGCCTCCTCATCTGAGAAATAGTGGTGATCATCCAGAAGAACACCCTTCTTCTCAGTGGCATCAGTTGTCATAGCGTCATCAGCGTCGTCCATCATGACCTCCTCAGGAGCCAGCTCCACCAAGTCATCACGATCCTCAGAAGGCTCCTCCAGAAGCTTGCCAGCCTCTTCGGGGTCAACGGTCATCTCCTCTCCCTTCTTCTTGATCTGCTTGGGCAGAGGGGCAGCCTCAATCTTCTCGATCTGGAAAGTTCCCCAGTCGCCAACCTGAATAAGACGGTCGGCCTTGAGGCCCTTGCCTCGGACAACACCAGTGATTACTGTTGAATCGGACTCGGAGTAGGCGAACTTGACATCCTCCGCAAGCATCCAACTCCTCTCGTCTCTCCATCGGATGCCCTTTGGTGTTGTGCTGCACAGTGATCGCATGAGGTTGGCACAATCTTGTCGGTTCTCGATGCTATAAAGCTTCTCTTGCTCAGGGTGGAAATGTGTGATGAAAGACTTGAGGGAGACTAGAACGCTTTGTCGCTGTTTCGCGGGCTCAACCTTGTCGAGACCTTCAACGATAGTGAAGAGGGTGGACATGCCCTGGCTCTCAACACTTCGTAAGATCAACTCTCCAAGTTCATCGACCTCAACGTTGGCGGACAGAACGACAATGACGAAATCGGCGACACGGGCAGCGTCAAGACAGGCGTTCAGGTCTCGCTCGATAGGGATGTATTGCAATTTTTGCTTGAATCGGTCGACTGTGACTCGGTAGTTGCCGCTTTCGGTGTTGTCCTCGATATCGACGCTGCTGTTCAGCTGCTTGATCGCAGCGTTAAGGTCGGTTCCAGCGCAAAGAGGGATGATGGCGACATGTCGAGGAGCGCCATCCTTTCCAGCGAAGACAGAGGTTTCCTTGACATGTTCCTTGTGCTTGTTCAATCGGGCCTGCTTGGCCTGGTTTCGTCGGTCGAATTTAGACATGACTTGTTGATGGGGAGTCTTTCTGTTTCCCTTTTCGTCGGCAACTCGGCCTGTGTTTGTGTCAGAATTGGAGAAATGACAAAATTTCGGGAGTCTTACCCTTTGCGCGATCCCTCAACTCATGCTTAGAAGCAGCCCGTGACTTGAAGGCCTTGTGTGTAACCTTTGTGGTTGGCCTATGGGAATGAGCCACAGCGACGGGCATTTTGCTCTCGCCACCGGCTTTGAATCGAAATGGTAACGAAGCCAGATTGAGAAACAGAAATATCGAATTGAGATTTCTGTACAAATTGTAGGCAAAATGATGGCAATATCGTCGATATTCTTAGGCGGTGATGGCGGGGTTAAATCCAAAATAATTTTTGTGCCTATCGATAGTGGCGTATTAGTGGATGACAGAAAGAACCCTGATTGTTGGATGGATGATGAGTCTCCGAGGTACAGACTTATTAGTGATTGATCTCACAATCGTACATAGTGAAAGCAAAGGAATATCTGTTTTTTATATGCAATTAATTTAAGTCTATATTTTTTATTTACATGATATTTTAAGTCAATGAGCATAACTTTGCATCCATTGAACCAGATACTCGGACGACCGTTTATTCTGTCAATCAAGAGTGGAGCATCGCATCCAATAGCCTCAGCACGATAAGCGGTGAATTTTTTTGTCGATAAGGAAAGTTGTATGCCAATCCATCCGCCATCTAATTCAAAGTTGCCCTTCTTCCAGTTGAGCGCGTTGACAATACGAAAATATGGAGGTCGACACAGTTGATGCGCCCACCTCAAAGGTGCGCCACAATGGCGCACTCGCTGTTCAAGGTGCCAGAACAGAACTCGTTCCCCGTCAGGAGCGAGAACGTGCTCGTCGAATCCGAGAAGCAAACAAAGCCTACGGTCGAGGGAAGAAGGTCAACATCAAGGCCATCAAGGACAAGAAGCTTCGAAGTAACATGAAGCGCCTTGAGGGCAAGTGCCAGGATGCTGCGCTGAAAGCTAAAGACGCCGAGATTCTGCTCGAGAACACATCTGGCTTTCTCGAAGCTGAGGACGAGCTCGAACGAACATACAAAGTCCGACAAGACGATATTACTTCGGATATTGCTGTGGGGACTGCGCAAAATCGATTCGAGCTCAAGCTGGAAGATCTGGGGCCATATCACTTCGATTACTCGAGGAATGGGCGGGACCTGTTGCTCGGTGGTCGAAAGGGTCATGTTGCGACGATGGACTGGCGAGCGGGTAAGCTTGGTTGCGAATTGCAGCTGGGTGAGACCGTGAGGGATATCAAGTGGCTACACAACAACCAGTACTTTGCTGTTGCGCAAAAGAAGTACGTTTACATCTACGATCACAACGGCGTGGAACTGCATACTTTGAGGAAACACCAGGAGGTGTCTCATATGGAGTTTCTGCCATACCACTACCTATTAGCAACAATTGTGAGTTTCACCTTTCCCGACCACTACATGCACAACTAACAGTGACAGGGCTCTGTCGGTTTCCTCAAATACCAGGACACATCAACAGGCCAACTCGTCGCCGAAATTCCCACCCGATTAGGCCAACCATGTTCCCTCAAGCAGAACCCCTGGAACGCTATTCTACATGTCGGTCACCAGAACGGAACAGTCACACTATGGTCGCCCAATACTCAAGATCCTCTTGTTAAATTGTTAGCGCATAGGGGACCTGTACGAGACTTGGCTATTGACCGTGAAGGTCGATACATGGTGTCAGCAGGTCAGGATCAGAAGATGGCAGTCTGGGATCTGAGAATGTTCCGAGAGGTCAACAACTACTTCACACGCCAGCCTGCTTCTTCTCTGGCTATTTCAGATACTGGATTGACAGCTGTTGGATGGGGTACTCAGACGACGATCTGGAAGGGTCTTTTCGACAAGAATGCCCCTGTTCAAGAAAAGGTCCAAAGTCCTTATATGGCCTGGGGTGGTGAGGGCAAGCGCATTGAGCGCGTGCGCTGGTGCCCCTTTGAAGATGTTCTCGGCCTCGGCCACGATTCAGGATTTTCTTCCATCATCGTCCCTGGCGCTGGTGAAGCCAACTACGACGCACTGGAAGTCAACCCCTTCGAGACCGCCAAGCAGCGACAGGAATCCGAAGTCAAGGGCCTGCTGAACAAGCTCCAGCCCGACATGATCGCCCTCGACCCCAACTACATCGGAAACTTGGATCTGCGATCCGACAAGCAGCGCCGCGCCGAGAAGGATCTCGACACACCAGCCACAGATATCGCCGAGGAGATCCGCAAGCGAGCAAGAGGCAAGAATGGCGCGCTCAAGAAGTATCTGCGCAAGCAGCGAAAGAAGAACATCATCGACGACAAGAGGTTGCAGGTGGACGAGATCTGGAAGGAGCAGCAGGCCAAAAAGGACAAGAAGCAGCTCGAGGCGGAAGCGGATCTGGGACCGGCGTTGGCGAGATTTGCGAAAAAGGAGTAATAGACTTGGATGTGCAAATGCGAATAATACCCTTTATCACAGAAAATATGCTTCTTTTGAGTGAAAAATGCGGGTTTGTCTATCAAATCCCCATGCGAGAGTCTATTTTGCAGTACTTTTTACATATCCGACCCAATTCGTAATCCCATGCGTGTCTTCGTGTATCCCCAGAATCCTTTCTATTCTTTGCGAGTGTTCGCCATTTACAGCAGCTTGAGTCCACCAGTGACCTGGTCAACGAGGCTTCTAGGCGCAGGTCCAACGCCCAGCACTGTCATGCTGCCCGCCTCAATTTGTGTTCGGCCAGCATCCTGGATAACCTCAGCTGTGATACCGAGAGACCGGGCCTTGCGTCGAAGCTCGAGCAATTCGTCCTGACTCTTGACTTGCACGGCGATCTTGGCCTGGCCGAGACGTTCCCAGCGCTTGAGGATCTTGGACAGGGGAGAGTTAGCGGGGGCGCGGGAGAGGGCCTTGTAGCATGCGAGGGTAGCGTGGGAGCATTGAGCAGCGATTTTGCCTACAACACATATTGTTAGCACTCTACATAGATGGTTTCGAGAGTAATTGTGTTAGTATACCCTTTGTCATGCCTAGATCTGTTCGCACAACAAGAACAAGCTTGCACTCCTCGCCATTGTCCTTCAGAACAGGCTCCTTCTCCTTCTCAACATTCTTCAAACCCTGCTTCTTATCGGCATCAGCGCCATTAGCCCAGTTGGGAGCATGATCGAGAATAGTGTCATCTTCGTCGATATCGCTTTCGTCGCTCTCGACAGGATCGTGTATGTTGCGCCGGCGCTCCTCGAACAGAGAGGGTGGGATGAGGTAGCCTCGGATAGTATAGATACCGAAAGCGTAACCGGTGAGGAGGGCCACGACGGCCGTGGAGATGATGACTCCTGTTTGTTCACCTGGGTTCATCGCCATGGTTGGGTGTGAGGAGGAGGATTTGAGGTTGTGATGCTGTTTTTGGTGGTTTTGGTGATCCCAGTGCTGTAGGTTGACGTTGGTTACATCACGTGGGGCATCAGCGAGAATCGATGCCGATTTCATGGGTGTTTCAAAGCCCGGTCACGATCATGTTTTCAGTTTTATTCATTGCTTGACTTTCTTACCTGTCGTTTCAATTTTCAGATTATTCGTCAAATTAATAATTAGCATGATACATTGCTCCCGGTGCAGCCGTATTTAACTCTGTCCAAGGTACCTAGTCAACTGTTTAACCAACTATAGTATCTGGTCCTGGTCCCGTCTTGTTATACACTATTCACATGAGACTCGCCTCGTTACAATTCAAAACGCTCAAAACGACATATTATTTTCTGAAGCTCCTCACATTACCAATACACCGCGTTGGATGTACCCTGACTCGTCGACCAAGGGGTGACATCCAAACATCTTGGAAAAGTCGTTCAGACAGGCACTTCGGGCCTCCATATGACCCTTCTTCATGCTTATTCCAACTTTAGGAACAAAGTTGACATATTTCTCATGTCCATTGATTAAGAGAGGACCCTCTCCAGTGAGAAGTCCGTGGACATAGTTCATGGCAAGATCCTCGCAGTTGAAGCCCTCGTCGACATACTCCCTGATCTGTGTCATGATTGTGTCATTGGAGGAGTAATAGTCGAGGAACGACACATGTGAGAAAGCGAGATTGGTCAGAACCATGTTATACTCGTCCTCTCCCCATCTGCTGGAGCAGAACGTGTACTTGTGGTATCCAAACGTATCGACAGGTGTGCATCGAGCGAGAGCACCGACCATCCGATTCCTGCCAAACTTGCGCCATGTCTGGAAGACGAACTCGAGGTCGTTTGGGTGATAGTAGACATCATCGTCCGAGAGCAGAATCGCTTGTGTCTTGTAGTCGGGATCTGGCCAGAGCTTTTCGTTGAGACTGTTGCGCTTCGACTTTCGGAATCGGACGGGGACACCGTGTTTCGAAACATAGTCCTCTGGGGGGTAGTTTTCGAGGTCGTTCCAGACGACGACTATTTCAAGGAGCGAGGGGACTTCCTCGCTCAGGATGATGTTGAGCGTTTCTTGGAGTTCCTTCGGTCGACGATACGTTTGCATAGCAATTCTGGAACACGGCCATTGTTAGCATTCTACCAATGAGACCGGAACGAGATCCAGAAGCGTACGTAAACTTGTCATCCATCAGATTCTCGTACTTCTTCTGTGAAGCTTCCCAGATGTCCCTCGTTCCATTAACCCCCTTGCTCTGACATGTAGGATATCTCGAGATATGGCTGACAAGTTTTGGTATAAAGAAGCCCGCATTCGTCAACTTTGCCAAAACGATAATAAATGTGAGAGCAAAGAACACAGCAGACGTAATAGTCGCCGCTCTTCGAAATGCTCTCGATTTTACGACCTTTGGCGTACGAAGTTTCACCCACTCAATCTTGTCTGCCACCCTATTCCTCAGGGGCAGAGTCTTCTCCATGAAGGAGGAGTTTGAAGGCTTCAACATTGTTGCTTGTGGCAGAAGCCGGGAATGCTGTCCCATGATACCGTTGGGTAATCCTATATACTATATAAAGGGGAAGCGTTGTTTCCAAGGGAGAGCACACGGGAGAGGCGTCTGGTATGTGTCGGCTGCGAATTATTGGGCAAGATAACCAATTCGATTTGTTGGAATCTTGGTATATGACTCGGAATCGAATTATAAGTGCATGATGGCGGACTTGGCACGCTTGGGGAGAGTGCGAGCTGAGATTAGAGGCGAGAAGGGGGAAGAAGCAAACATGAGCAGAGGAGACATCGACAGACAGAGGCTAGAGAGGGTCGGTATCATGAAGAACAGAAGCAAAATGGACATTTCTTTGTTGGCATCGACTTAGACATATACATCCTCCCTTGCTTCAAATTCCCCCTTGGATGGCAGCCAAAAATCAAGTCTAAATCTAAGCCTAAGTCTAACTGTAGTAAATTATAGTGCAGCTCTTGGTAATCTCCCGCAAGGGAATGGACACGCTACCAATGATAGCAAGTTGTTGTCGCACGTAGAGACATGTTTATTTAATCGCCGCATGTCCGTTCATGTTCTCTCAGCAAATCGGTTGACCCAATGCTACGTCTCACGGCTGTGGTTCGTTCGTCTCTTCCAATATCTTCCGCTAGACTCGACATGGAAAGGAGACGACGATCTTGGTTGTGCCATGTTAGTTATCGCAGCGAGGATCGCGTGACTGTTTCACTCCTGATTTAAAATATCAGGAGTTTAGTTTGAGTCTATTTTACCTAGAGGACGATTAATTCAATAGTTTACGTTTTTGAGAATGATGCCAAGTCCACTGAACCTTGTCTCGTAGATCAAAGTCCGGTAATAGCCCCTGTATTTCCATCGTTAGCGGCTGAGCGCCACTATCAAACCCTCCCCTGCATGTACGTGCGTGCTTGTGATCCTCCCGCACTTTGCCGACGTCAAACTCACAACCAGTCACTGTCCAACATTACACAACATAACTGCTGATATCTTGGCATCATGAGCGCAAATAAGGCTCTCATAGTCGGCATCTCGGGGTGCTCCTCAAGTGGGAAAACGACCCTGGCGCGGCTGCTGCGGGACATTTTCCCCAATACTTTCATTCTTCACGAGGATGACTTTTATAGACCTGAGAATGAGTATGATACCTTGTAAACGATATTTTGACATGAGCCATGTCTAACTTTTATAGGCTACCGACCAAAAATGGTCTCTTAGACTGGGACTGTGCTGAGGCCCTCGACATCCCGGCCATGGCCGAGTCCCTCGCTTATATCCGCCAACACGCTGCCTTTCCTGTAAGTCCTACATCTTGAGTCATGGTGTATGTCTGATATAATCCTTTAGCCTACCCTTGACTCCAAGGAAGATAAAAACTCCGTGGGCAAGTGCCCCGTATCAGAAGCCAGCATCGCCGCTCAACGTGCCAAAGTCGATGCCGCTCTAGGCCCAGACCATCCCCTCCGCAAAAGTCTCCGTCTATGTCTCCTCGATGGCTTTCTTCTCTACTCCCCTTCTATGGCTGCCATTAAGCCCAACTTGGACATCAAACTCTTTCTGCGTACAACATATGAGAAGGCTAAGAAGAGAAGAGAAGCCAGAGACGGATACGTCACCCTGGAGGGCTTCTGGGCAGATCCTCCTGGTTACGTTGATAAGATTGTATGGCCCAACTATGTAGAAGAGCACGCTTGGATGTTCGAGGATGGTGACGTAGAGGGTAAGTTCAAGACGGATGTTTTGGATAAGGACGGTATCAAGGTACAGGGTGATGTGAGTGCTGATGGAGATATCGAGAAGACATTTGAGTGGACAGTAGACACAATCTTGGAAGAACTTGGAAAGCAAGTATAGACGAGCTAGGGTATCTATCTAGGTATCTGCAAGCAATGTCTAATCTTATCCTTCTTGATCTACCCTCTCCAAGTGAGTTCTAGTATCCTCTCGCCTCAAAATTTCTTAAACTTCTTCTTTTCTGAAAGAGCAGCTATCTCGTGATCTTCTGAAACGTCAACTGGTCTCTTTTTACTTTGACGGCCGTTCGACGTCTCATCGTCTGAGAACCCAATCAGATCCTCCTCCATGGGATGATAGCCAAGATCCACTTCCTTTGGATGGTCAACCGACATCTCGTCCTCCGAGAAGTCGATCAAATCCTCCTCTAAGCATCCATGAGTTAAACCCACTTCTTTTGTATGGGTGGCTAACTGCTTCGTATTCTCGTTCTTTGGTGGCCCGACCAATGACTTTGTCTTGTTCTCCTTCTTCGGAGCAACGACCAGATCCTTGTCCTCCGAGTTCTCAGTTAGGGTGCCTTCCATTGGATGATCGATGGACTCCTTCTCTGGCGAAGTACCGGCCGAGACCTCGTCCTGTTTGTGTGCAAGATCATCTCTCTGTGAGGCGTGTACATGATCCCCTTCCTACGAGGTGTCCATGGCATCTTGTTGCTGATCGACTGCATTCATCTCCCCTGTCAAAAGTCGAATCGCCTTCTCCGCAGCTTTAGCCATAGCCTCAACTTTGTTGAGAGAACCTTCGACTTCTGCTACCAACCGCTCTCCGATTGTGAGTTCACAGCTCCATCGAGGCTCGGGTTCTTCGATCTGGGTTGTGGTGTATTTCATTTTACTTGCAAGAGCGAATTTGGAGAGTTGCTCTTTGGGATGCTGAACGTGTATGTCCTTCTCCATCACCAAATTCAGATATTCCATTACCCGAAATCTTTCAAGAACACGTGTGCATTCTTCAATCGATCCGGAGTCGACCCAGACTGCACCGATAATAGCTTCAAACATATCCGAATAAAACTTTGGGGGCTGAAGGCGTGCGAGGAGTACCCAGGGGTAGTGGTAACCACCCCACAGAGCCGTGTTAAGCTCCGATCGCATGGACTCGAATCTCTCCTCAGTTTTTACCATGGCATTGACCATTTCGGAGGAGTTAAACCTCATGAACTTCCAAAGTGGAAGTTTAGTAGTTTTGGTTATCAGTTCTATAAGTTTACCCTCGGGTTTGACTTCCAAGTCTCCGGTAGCTTCGGTTGTAGGCTCACTGTTGGTCACAACTTCCAGGTCCTTTCGCTCGATAGAGTTGGTAAGATTCACGAATGAAAGAAAATCTCCATTCACGATAGCCGTTTTGATCATATGAAGTCGACCAGTAGGAATTGGTGGATCGTGCTGAAACATTTTGGTGACAACGATATAATCCAGGACAGCATCCCCTAGAAACTCGAGCTGCTCGTAGGATCTTTCCTGCATGATTGTAGCATATGAAGGATGGGTAACTGCTTCAAGCAGCAAAGACTTCTTCTTGAACGTATACTTGATCAGGTCTTCAAGGGGTTCAATGATACTGGGAAGCTTAACGTCGCTAGGAGCTGCAGCAAAGAGAATGTCTCTAGCCACACCCTCTTGATGCCAGTTACACTTGTCGCCCAAAAAGACTGAAATGCATTTAAGGGCCTTGGTCATCCCCCCGTCTTGGTAAGAGGCTCCAATAAGTGCCTCTACAACATCGGCCAAGGTCTTCGATCCTCGCGTTGGCGCAGGTCGAGGGCGAAACTTTTCTTTGGAAACGTCATCAAGATAGAGTGGCCTCCATTTCAAGGCGGTGAAACTCTTCGAAAGAATGAACTTTGAAAGACCTTTCTCAAGACACACTCGTTGGAGGCGTTCGTTGGATACGAGTCGATCTTTAAAATGGTTCAGAAGCCCTTCGGGCCAAGACGGGTCTGTGGCAGTTAGTTAGTGTATCGACCTCCACAACAAGGGGGGGCTACTTACGTTCAGAGTAAGCCTGAGTGACGGCGCAAAACTTCAAAATCGAATCGCCCAGAAGTTCAAGTCTCTGGTAGTTAACAGGCTCACAAGCACTAGGTGAGCTTATGGCCTCGAGCACCAACTGCAAATTCTCGATGCCAACTGGCTTCAGAAGGGTAGACGATAATTCAGAAGCAATAAGATGCACCTCTAGCTCATGTATGATGTGTGGAATGAACAGACCGCACTTGACGACTCGTCTTCCGACCTTATCAACACGGGCATGAGAAATGGGAAGCACATATTCGTACGGCTTAGTGCTTGACTTGGGCTGAACATCTTTTAAATCATGAAGTAAATCGTTTCGGGTACCCCATTTTTCCAGAACCAGATACTCCTCATGCTCTTTTGCTTCCTCATATTCATAAAATGGGTGTTGCACATCGAGATATTTAGGTTTTGAGGGAATCGTGCGGACGTAGTGAAACGGCCTGTTTTCTTGGTCCCGCACAAGAACTCTGTGCTTCTTGGCTTGTTCTTCCCCTGCTCCGCGGAAGGGATATGCAGCCATGGAATCCCGGGTGACGCGGGGGGCAGGGAAGATGGATGTACTCTCCAAAGACATCTTGATGACATGCCCGCGATCTTCGACATTCCAGCGGTGCTGGAAGTTCATAGCCAAGAGAGCCGAAGTTATATCTAGCTCGTTTGTAGATACCTCGTCGGGTATGTCGTCGACCGAACTCCATACAATGGACCACTTGGAGCCACCCCCAGGGTATAACGTGATATTTCGAGGTAGGTCAATCAGAGCAGGTAAAATGACGCCAAAGAGACAAGGGCGGTTGAACTCGTCATCAGTGAACTCGAACAAGTAGTATTGCTTTTCACAATCCGACTTCCAGCGTTGGGCGATCTGGACCCAGGGGTCGAATAGGGGCTCCGGTATTAGGTCAATCTTTTCTTCCACCTTCTCTGACTTGGCATTGAGAGGGGCCAAGTTATCTGTGACCAGCCCAGCTTCGTACAAAGCGACATATGCCTGAAATGCTGCATCTCTGATGGCATTCCGTTCAGACTTCCATCCGCAAGCACTTTTGAACGTGCGAAGATTCAGCGGCAACCCTCCCGGCAAAGTGACCGTAGCTCTCAAGATCGGCCCACCGTATAGAGTCTCTTCTTTATGGAAGACGTATTCAGGGAGCTGGGTGATATAATCCGTGCGAAAAACAACCTGGCAAAAGCGATCCAAGTGTTGTCGAGCATTTTCGAGGTCGAGCCGTGCTCCCGTGCTCTTCACGATATAGTAGGTAGAATCAATATCCTCAGCCCATGCCTGTTTATCCAATCGATCCAACTCTCGTTGGTCATCTTCATAACGTTCCTTCATGCCTACCTCCAGGTCTTCCCAGGCGCGGGTGTCTGCACTTGAGCTCAGCAAGGCAATCATCTTGGACTCCGGCATGCGAGCTCGTCCACGGCGCTGGATAAATGACTTGAGGGTAGCAATCTCGTCGAAGGACACAACTAGGTTACATGCGGGAACATCAATGCCTTCTTCTAAGACACTGGTAGCCACCAGGAGATCGATAGCCCCTGATCTAAAATCCTCGAGTACTTTGTCAGAGTCAATGGGGTACTCATAGACCCTCTGTTTCTGGAGTCCGTAGCTCGAAGCCCCGACTATTGCACCGACTTTGTAACGGTCTCGGATAGGGGGGTAGTTGTTAAGAAGCTTGCAAAGCGTATGCGCTGCAGTTCGTTCCTTGACAAAAATGATTCCAACTACATCGTTCTTGACCTCAAGAAGTTCATGGATCAGTCGGCTAGTTTTGTGCGACACGGTTTGCTCGGTTGGTGGTGAGTTGTCAACGACACCGATGTTGATTCGGCGCAAGTGCCCTGCAAGATAGGTCCTGTCCTCGTTGGACCATGCATCGGTGAAATTAATGTTCTCGTCGATTCTGCCAAGGAAGTTCTTGATCATCTGTGAAATATAATAGTCTGCTGCCCAGCTGCCCAGTTCGGCAAGGATTTCTCTGCTCTTGTTCCAGAGGCCTTTGATTTGCTGTTGCGAGAAGGTGTCGTGCTTCATAATCAGGTTCATTAACCTTTCCCGCTTCTTTTCATCATTAGCGACAAGAGCCTTTAACTTAAGAACCTCGGGATCCTTTGCGATATCCATGTCCGAGTATTCTGATTGCAATTGTTGCATCAGTGGCGTACGGGGAGGGATCTTCGTAACATCGTAGAGTGAGCGAACGAGGTGAGGCTTGTTGGTATGCTTTAGCAGTTGCTCTCGATGAATGGTCGGTGTAACACAGATAGCGTCCATGGTATTCTCTAGTTTCTCGATCTCCTTAAGATCTGATGAGATAATGGGACTGGCAGTCAAGCCAAGTATGGCTGGTACTGGCATACCCGCGTTCTTGTGTCGATGGTAGAAGTTCATCATAATCTTCCGCCCAGGGTTGTTCTTAACGCAATTATGGACTGCCACTGGTTAACAAGAGTGATTGTAAGGCGAACAGCCACTTACCTTCGTCAAATACTATTAAAGCGAGCATGTCCATTGTGACAAAGGCGTGGTCAAGAGCATCACGCAAGATGGAGAATGTAGATACGATGATGCGAGTGCCCTTGAGAATTTGGGGCCAAACCCCTGGCGACCATGCATCGATGTTGAGCTGCCCCGTAAGCAGTCTCATGGGAACCGATGGCATTTGTCCTTTGATGACATTATACTGTTGCTCAACGAGTCCAACGGTCTTACCCAAGAACCACACAAGCTTTACATAGGTAGTCAGTGACCTGCCATGGGTTTAGTTATTGATCCACGAACCTTGTCAGGTGAACATCTCTCGAGTTCCGCTTGAATGCGAAGAACGGCGCTATAGTGTTCAGTCAACGTCTCAATCCCAGAACACTCTGCTATGAACATACACTTGTGTCTTCCCGCTGCCCGTATCCATCTGATGACTGTTAGCCGATATGATTCGAAGTAACGATGCCTGAAGGTGCTTACGGCAACGATGACGTTCCTCCTCAGGCTCTGCTCCAGCATCTCTCGCTGGTAGGCACGAGGCTTGATGATGTCCGGGACTAGAGGCACATATTTGGACTTGTTTGAGGCCTTTTGTTTGCCAGTTTGGGCCTTGTCAGTGGGGAGAATGCTCACTGTCTCTTCGACCTCGATCATTGGTGATGGCGTCGAGGCGGTAGCAGGACTCTCCGACCGTGAGGAGTCTGCACTCCCGCTGTTAGGAGACTGCTCTTCATCGATTTCCATCATTTTCTTATCATGGGGGAGTAGTGAGTAGCAATATTGAAGTCTTGGGCGAGCCAAGTGCTGGGGTATTCTGGTTCGCTTCAGCGAAGCTGTCTTCACGCGGGAGAGTGACTGGTGGAAAGCTAAAGAACAGAAGAAGGTTTGAGGATAGTGCCTTGCTCTCAGAAGCATGAGAAGGAAAAAGAAAGAAAGTTATATCAAGGAAAGAGAGGTATAATGAAGTGAGATGGTGGGAGGCCCACCGAGAATTGTTGGTGTAGGAAGCACTGATTCACAACCTCAGCACTTGGGAGTGTGCGGAGGGAGGGACTGACTGCGCAGATTGGGTAGCAAATGTGCATCTGTCACTGCAGAGCCGAATCAGGAGATAATAGTCTCCCCGTCACTTCGAAATTACTGCTAGAAAGTCAAGTAGAAACTCAATTTTTATTTTCCTACATCAATAAGTACTTCTCCTTGTATTTCATGTCCGCTTCCTTGTTAGACTGTTAGCAATTGAATGTTCTAGCACTGGGGGTGCTCTGTAGTCTGAGGTGCCAATGCAGGGGAGATTAGCACCGTTTATCCTCACTACTACGCTGAACAGGCACCAAGAACACAATGTAATTGCAAGAAAGCCAAGAACAATAGAAGTTCTTCTTCTGTTCAACATTTCTTTCAGGCCCATGGTAGTTAGTTTTATTTTCACTGTGTTTTCCATCTAGTTTCGTGCAAGCTGACCTCCTAGTGATCAAGTGACAATATTCATCTTGAGTGGTCATAGGCTTTCATCGCAGCTTCACCTTCGACCTACCACTGTCAAACTGGAGGCGCCCTCCTACGAACCATCAATATCTCAACTTTCTTTGCCACTCTTTGCGTACACTGAAATCACGGATGGCCATGGATCTCCCCGTACGAATACCTTCCACGGATCAAACCATAGATTTATACGTAACCGGCTTCAATGCGTGGAACCAGCTCACATTCGACCCTCAGCCAGCGGACGAAGAGCCTGACGATGTATTCACTTTCACAAAAGTATTGGCAGCCAAGTCTCTTGGACGAATTGCTTCCCAACTCAGCTATACTGTGGGTAGGTTCTTCGTTCTATAACGTGGACGTGGAATCCTTTCTAACACTTAACAGTTCAACAAGATGCAACCTGGGCCATCGCTGGATCATCCCCTCGCCAGCTTCTTCACCGTGAAGACAACCAAGGATTTCTATTCGACTCTCCGAGTGCTATCTCAGGGGATGGTAAGGTCTTAACTGCTCAGGAGTCGGACTGTTCATCCTTAAATCACGCCATTTCTCAGTATCCATCTTTGGCTGCATGGAAAGCCAGCAAGAGTACCGATTCCTGGCCTTGCAAGGCTGCTGTCCGCCAGATAACGGCCTATGACGCTGGCTTCATTATTCTTCTCGAGGATCAGACCGTCCTAAGCTGTGGTGACCCACGATTCCGAGACTGCCTCGGCCGTGAAGTTAACGAGTCCCGGTCAGTATTCATGAGTCACTACGGAGAGACCATACTGATCGTGTTGTTAGCCCTGCCAACGAACCTGGAGTCATACAAGATCTGAGTGATCTTGGCGAGCCCATCAAGAAGATTGCAGCAGCCGGATACACAGCTGCAGCTTTGACAGAGAGTGGCGGATTGTATCTCTGGGGCATGGCACCCCCTGGCTCACAATGCCGACACAACGTATTTCAAGATATCAGCGAGCTACCGAATTACTTCGAAGTTGACGGAGACAAAGACGTGCAGGATATTGGACTTGGAGAATCACATGCCATTGCTCTTACGACTGATGGCTGCGTCTACATAATAGGGGACAACACTAATGGCCAAGTTGGTCGTGGGAAGGATGCTCAAGATCCAGTTTCATCATGGTTAAAGATAGATTTTACGCCCCCTGAGGGTTGGGCAATTATTGCCGTTGAGGCTGGCCCCAGATCATCATTCATAGTCACAAAAAAGGTAAAACAATCTCAAAGCTCATAATGAGCTGTTCTTCTATCAGAACCAGCTCTAGTGAGCCCAATGAACCCTCTATTGTACAATGCTTCTCGTTGTGATCATTTGCATAAGGGCAATCATAGACTCGTCAGGTAATCCTCAATCTCTTGAGGGGTCAGCTTTCTGAAACGGGGTCCGACAGCCCCATCAACACCCTCAAGACCCAGGAGATGGTCTGCAGGAGCACCAACAATACCTGCAACAAGTTAGCAAGACTCTTACTCTCGACTCGTTCTGAAAACTTACCAATCTCGATGCTGTCACCATTCATCTCGCCCTCGATGTTGTCCTTCAGGGTCAACAGCGCAATGTGGATAGCATCCTCAAGCTCAAGCTCCTCCGAGTATCGCTTTTCCAAGAACGTCTTGGCCTTTGTCGCACTCTTGCCAATGGCTGTAGCCTTCCATGGGTAGTAACTGCCAGAGGGATCGACCTGGTACAGCATGGGGCCGCCCTTGTGAATACCACCAGTCTTTCGGTTGACCTTCTTCTCCTCGCTCTCCTCGGTGGTCTTGCTCTCCTCCTCGGGCTCGATGCCCTCATCCCAGCCAGCAACCAACAGACTCACGCCATAAGGTCGAACACCGGCGGATTGCGTGGCCTCCTGCATCACTCGGGCGACATCCTGTACCAATATTCTGGTAGGGGGGTACTCGTTGTAGATGCGCTTGTAGCCGCTATGCGAAACCTTGCGTGCTCGGTCCACCAATACTCGATAATCAGGGCCCATGCCAGAGTACACCATGCCGATGTTGGGGGTGATGTCGCTGATCTTGGAGAGGGAACTCTGGTCGGCCAGAGGGGATGATGACTTCTTCTCGGTGGCGAGAACGATACCGTTGGTGGCTTGTGCAGGTTAGCAGGAGCTTGTTCAAGATGCTGGGGGGAGCGCGAACCTTTGATGCCAAGGGCAGTGATACCCTGGTTTACAGCATTGAGGGCATACTCTATTTCCTCAAGTTAGTTCCAAAGCTTGGTTAGGTCACGAAACTTCAATACGCAAAGCATATCGAAGATACACCAGCAATTACGTACCAATCTGCACCAGCTTTCCGCTATAGCTTTGTCAGTGATGATGCTCGCATATCAACAGTGTCGTCACCGAAACATACCTGGGTGAGAAAGTTGTGAGAGAGAAGGAGTATCGGTCCGCCATCGCTCAAGTTCCTGCTTCGATGGGATCGTTACGAGAGAAGTGAGTGTTGAATTATGGGCGGTTATGGATTCGTGGGGTTGACGAGAAGATATCAAGCGAGGCTGCAACTGGAGCTCTGGTGTTTGGCCAAAGCAGCTGTAGCCTCTAGGCAGGCCCAGCTGCGCGTCGAGCTCAACCGCTGGGAGCTCTGAATGCGGGGCAACAGATTATCCGATCGCCGGTCAACAGAGACAAGGTGCCAGATCTTAACTTCATATGATGACAGCAGCTTATTAAACTTTCAGTCAAGAAAATATTTATATACAAGAGATTTTCGAACTTCTATACAAAATCCCACAAACCCTTCCATCAGTTGCCCCCATCAATCCTGCAACCAAGATTGGATCCTCACCTATATTCCTAGGATCATCCTTTTCCCGAGCCGCGCCAAGTTCCAGAGACTCCACACACGAAGCAGCTTTCTTCGTGCGAGCTTGGTATCGGCTATTTCGGCTTCCTTCCTCCATCTTCTCTCGCAAGAAAAAGAGGCTGAGCTGGCCTCTCCATACCTGGGGTGACTTTACCTCCTTGTTTCAATCTTGGCGGGCGGCCAGGTGTTTCCCCCGCTCTCCTACTGCTCCTCTTGACATTTGAGCTTCGCAAAAACATGTAGGTTGCGCCTGAAACGCCTCCACGGCCCACGACTTGAGCACATTTCTACTGTGATTCTATCACCTACTGCTGTTGCCCTTACCTCTCTTTACTTCCACAGGTCTACGTAATTCATCATGGAGGCGCGCCCTACTTGGGATTGGTCCTCGGTTGGGGATAATTCTGCTCGACAGCCTGAAACAGAGCCACGTGCAGCGACACCAGAGCCTACAACGCGATGGGCATCTCCTCCAAAGCCTGATACAACCTCTAACCAGGAGTCTCGAAGCGCGCCGAGGCAGAGGCGCTACGGCCCGCGCACATGTCGTATATGTCTCGACACCGAAGAGCCCAGGTTTCCTGAACAGTCAACAACGTTTGGCATTCCTACAAGTTCATCTCGGCCTACATACGTCTCCGACGATCCCGAACTGGGAAGATTACTATCACCATGCAAGTGTAAGGGTTCGCAGAAATATGTTCATGAAGGATGTCTCAACGCTTGGAGACTCGCAAACCCCATGGCAGCAAGGAACTACTGGCAGTGCCCGACTTGCAAGTTTACGTATCGCATTTCTCGACTCCACTGGGGTTCCGTTTTGAGCAGCAAGTGGGCGCAGGTTGCTTTGACCGTCTGGTTCTGTATACTGAGCATTTTTGTCCTCGGATTTATCGCAGATCCCCTCTTTGATCTTTGGTCCGACCCAATTGGAACCATCGGCGAAACTGTCACAAGCGTGGTTACAGATATCGAGGCCTTGAGACAACCTCCACCACAATTACCAACCTCTTGGTTCGAGCACTTCGTTAAGGGCTTCTTCTCCCTGGGAATTGTCGGGCTATTCAAGACGATGCTTACTGTATCTCCCTTCAGTTGGTGGCAGATCCGAAGCAGCGGCGTGGCAGGTGGTGGTGGAAGGAGAGGAGGCACTGGCCGAAACCGTGTCGAGAACATCAACCTCATTTTTGTACTCATTGGTGCATTCACGTTTCTTGTGGGCATCTGGAAATTTGTTCAGAAGCTGAGTGCACGCGTGCTCAAGAATGTGAGCGACAGGGTTGTTGACGTCGGCGAAGACGATGACGAAGATGAAGATATCGGCGATGGACCGAACCAAGGAAGTAAGAAAGATCAATGAAGCTAAGAAGCTTTTGTTCCAAGCAGTCTTTTGCTCCCATGGCCCCAATGCTCTACATCGTGTATGTATCTGCACACTCTTAAGTTGCCTAGATCTTGCTCTTCCCTGTCAAGTCAACTAGTCTGTGTGCAAAGATTTACGCTCTGCTGCACCTTGGGCGGGAACCGTTTTGGCTCTTTGCTCGCTGGTCAGCATGAGATTATCAACCTTCATTCACGCATCGTGATGCTTTCGGGCGTTCGTAACGGTGTGAGGCATCTGCTGGGTACACTACCCTCGTACAGAAGCAGTGAGCAGATTGTCGGATGTTGGTTGATACATACCTGTATTATTATGTATCATGAATAAATAAGACCTTTGCTGTGGTCGTTATAATCAATTATCACCTCTTTCATCACCATGCAAGGTGTTCTCTAAGGATGTTTGTCTCAATTCCGCTTTCACCTGCTCATAGAATACATATAACTATCCTTTCCAACATCTCGTGATAACAGTTCGCAATCGACAACTAATCTTTAGCTCCTATACTGCGGCTAGAATAATGGCCTGATGCGGTATATGACAGCTTATATTTAGGTCACTTTGAATACGAATTCATCGTATTCTCAGCACATGTTTCTTGACTTTGTCATGTCTTATAAGTCGGACTTTTATGGCCCCGACACCGAGATGACGTTGGAATTTGGTGTTCTGAATGGACCCCTGCCATTGAAATACGGGTAGGGTAGCCCAGCATGTGGGCCAGGGCCTCATGAATTCGGCCGCTCCAAAAAGCCATCTATCATCAACCAAGTGCGCCGACCATGACTTCCTGATTAGCTCCTCCATTTGCTGCGGACCAGACTGTTCGCACTCGCTCGCTTCTTTGATCCTTGCTGCGATCACGGTGCCTCTTTTGAATTCAGTATTAACGGCTGCCCGCTCTCGCAGTTGCACAAGAACCTGGTCTCCCTTTGCGAAACGGACGATCTACGCACGCCTAGTCTACGGGCTTGCTCTGACTGCTTCTAAGCCAAGGAAGCTATTCTGACCTCATTCGCGACTAATACTATACTATATTCAACGTGGTTCGACCGAGTAATCGCCCAAGATGCACTTCGCATACCCCCCTCGCAAGAACTCCAACCCACCACCCTTCAAGCAGCGCTCGTCGCAAATACCGCCAATTCTGCGCCGAATCCGCAAAAGAACAGCGGTTTTACTTCTCCTCGGAGCTATTGGATTTATGTTTTTCCTCTTTGGACTGAAAGGCGAAACGCCATACCGCGAGCATGTTCCGTCAGGCAGACCCCCCGTTGTCGTTGTGACGGTCTTGGACAATACACAGTACAACGAAGCCTATTTAGAATCGATTCGACACAACCGAGAGCAATATGCGTCAAGAAACGGTAAGGCAGCTGTGAAAGGCTTGTTCATGGATGAGGCTGATATACTATAGGATATGAAACCATGATTGTACGAGCATCTGACTACGACACTGGCAAATTCCCACGATCATGGGCCAAGATTATCGCGATGCGCCATGCGCTGTCAAAATACCCCGATGCCACTTATGTCTGGTTCCTCGACCAAAACGCTTACATTATGGAGCTCGACAAGAAGTTAGAGGAGCAGGTGGTGAATCCGGCGAAACTAGAAAGCCTAATGATTAAGGACTGGTCTATAGTGCCGCCGGACAGCATTATCAAGACATTTTCCCACCTCAAGGGTGAAGATGCAGGTCTTGTCATCAGCCAAGACGAGACAGGGTTGGTAACTAACAGTTACATCCTCAAAAACGGTGAATGGGCCAAGTTCTTTGTCGAGACATGGATGGACCCTCTGTACCAGAGCTACAACTTCCAAAAAGCCGAGCGACATGCGCTTGTAAGTTTTACCTGAGTTGATCTGCCGAGAAACGTGACCTAACCTCGTAAAAGGAACATATTGTCCAATGGCACCCTACCATTCTCTCTAAGCTTGCGCTCATACCCCAGCGCACGTTTGCCTCATACGGCCGCAACAAGGAAGGCAATGCATACCGTGACGGGGACTTTGTCACCCTCTTGGTCGACTGCACAGTTACAGGTCCGACGTCGTGTGATAAGCAATCGCATTTCTACCTGCAGCAGTTGAAGAACAAGTTTGGTGATGCCAGCGTGAAAAAGCTGCAATGAGCATAATGAACACGACATTTGAGCGAGGTCATTGGGCGTTTTGTGATAGACTTGGAGGGGCTATTATAGGATTGGAGATGGAAAAGCCCGTAGGTTTTTTTCTTGGCGTTAGTTGGTGACTATTGGTGAATTTAGCTTATATGAATCTGGACATGTTCTATCTGCATGGATATCAATACGTTGAGAGCTTTGAGTCTTGAAGGCATATGGTTGATCTTGTTATTTCATTATAATACTCACCGTTATGCACCTTCAAAGTCAAACTACGATCTGGAGAAACTGTGATAAGATTAGTACCTACCTAGATGATGAGCATTACTGTTTGGTAGCACAAACACTAAACTTATGCTGCTTCACGAGGTCAGGATTAGAAACCTTGAAGTAATCTATGAAGTCTCATCTCGTCTAATCCGAATGGTATGACGACAAGCTGGGTTAGAGAGTTTATGTTCTGATTCTGGAACGCGCCGCAGTTGAATCACCGTAAAGAAGCTGGGACCTCTTCTGTGGGATCTACCAGGGTAAGTTCTCATCAGCCTCACTCAAGGATCGAAGATCAACTAGTTTACAAGATATGCTTCATGAGGGGAATAGTACCGAGTCCGAGTCCGAGTGTAAGTCTGCTTTGTTTCATTCGTCACTTGACTCGATGATAACCATAGGAACCCGCGGGGTATTGTCCACCGGTAGTTGAAGCTTTTTCATCAGTTATCCGAGCTAGTAGACGATAATATCCATGCAGGATCGAATCCCGAATAGACTTTGTATCTCGAGTATGTATCAAAGCTCTTGATGAAACCATCGCCCCACGATCCAGGCCAAATATTCCGTTCTGCCGACCGAATGCGAAATCTCCAAGGTCGAGGAGTCGTATATCTCGCAGCGGGGTTATAGCCCAAAAAAGGTAGTTGATCACAAACAACTGACTTTCTCAACGAGGCAATCGCTTCAAACTGCGACCGCTCATGTACAATTACGGCGTCGACAGGGATCCTTCGGCCCACGATCCGTTTCAGTGGAGAGTCGCACGCCTTGAACGGGTTCAAGCACTATGAATTTAGGGGCTAGACGCTAACGGTAAGGGTTCCCGCGGAGCCCGCGTCCCCGCCAAGCATGTGACGGGTGCTGAGATGGCGCTAAAAAATATCCAAGTACTGGCTATGCCCCGCGATATTGGTTTGGAGATACACGACGTCAAGCTCCTTCTTCGAGCTCGTGTTTATAACACGGCCAATTCTTCTCCAAAATTTCCCCGGATTTTTGTCATTCTTTAACGTTTCTCATCTCTTGCTTTGAAAACTAATTAATCATGACTTCTCAAGCTCACATTGGGACCCTGTCCCGTCTTCCCCTGAACTTACGTGGTGGTATTGAAAGTGTTGCTCGTGGAAGACACAACGTTTCTTGGCCTTTATTGAACCTCGATCTGTAAGTCACGATACCACTTATATACAACCCCACAAGCCCACCACCGCCTATCAATTGATGTATCTAATACTAATCATGTCTCCTTACGCTTTAGGTTACGAAATATTCTCTTATTCCTCTTTGTCTGGCGATGGGGTCGTCGCGCATTCTGGCAGCTCCGAGGTCGCGGAATCGTCGGCTCCGTTGTCGAGCTCTACGTCAACATTCGTCGCATTCTCTACGGTTACTTCCTCCGAGCTCCAGGCGTACGAAACAAGGTTCAGCAGCAGGTTCAGGAATCTCTAGTTAAGCTATCCGACAAGCTAGTTCCCAAAGACCAGATTCGCTACCTCTCCTTACCAAAGGATGGCCTCCCTATCGATACCGTTCGCGCCGAGCTCGAGAACCTTGCCAACATGGATCACACCCGCTGGGAGGATGGATATGTCTCTGGTGCTGTCTATCACGGAGAGGATGAGCTGATGCAGCTCCAGACCGAGGCTTTTGGCAAGTTCACTGTTGCCAATCCCATCCATCCCGATGTCTTCCCTGGTGTGCGCAAGATGGAGGCCGAGGTTGTGAGCATGGTCCTGAGCATCTTCCATGCTCCTCCTGGTGCAGCTGGTGCTTCTACCAGCGGAGGAACTGACAGTATTCTTTCTGCTTGTCTGGCTGCTCGTCAACAAGCCTACAACGAACGTGGAATTACAGAGCCTGAGATGTAAGTGAAGCTGCAAGGTTGCCATTGACCAATAAGACTAACCAGCCGTGATAGGATCCTTCCCGATACTGGTCACACTGCCTTCCGCAAGGCTGCTCAGTACTTCGGCTACAAGATTCACCTCGTCGCCTGCCCTGCTCCTGAATACCAGGTCGATGTCAAGGCTGTTTCACGTCTGATCAACCCCAACACTGTTATGCTTGTCGGCTCGGCCCCCAACTTCCCCCACGGTATTATGGACGATATTGTTGCTCTGTCCAAGCTTGCTCAGCGAAAGAAGCTCTGGCTCCACGTCGATTGCTGTCTCGGTTCCTTCTTAGTCCCCTTCCTTGAGCGCGCCGGTTTCGAGTCTCAGCTCTTTGACTTCAGGCTCAAGGGTGTTAGCAGTATCAGTTGTGATACTCACAAGTATGGTTTCGCTCCCAAGGGTAACTCGACTGTCCTGTACCGTACCGCCGAGCTTCGAAAGTATCAGTACTTCGTTTGTCCTGATTGGTCTGGAGGTGTCTACGCTTCTCCCGGTATTGCTGGCTCTCGTCCCGGTGCTCTCATTGCTGGTTGCTGGGCTAGTTTGATGACTATCGGTGAGGCCGGATACATTGACGCTTGCACCAAGATCGTAGGAACCGCCAAGAAAATCACGGAAGCCATTCAGTCTTCGCCACTGAGCGGCGAGCTTGAGATTATTGGCAGACCTCTTGTTTCGGTCGTTGCCTTTACATCCCGCAACTTGAACATCTATGATATCGCTGATGCTATGAGTGCGAAGGGATGGCACCTCAACTCTCTTCAGGACCCTCCTGCCATCCATGTCGCCGTTACCCTGCCCATCTCGAAGGTCTGGGAGAACCTCATCGCTGACCTTGAGGCTGTTGTCGAAGAGGAGCGTGAGAAGGAGCGTGTTCGTCTTGTCGAAGGCAAGGGTGCCCATGGTAAGGCTATGGGTGATTCCTCAGCCCTGTACGGTGTTGCTGGCTCACTACCCAACAAGGGTGTTGTTGTTGATCTGGCGAGTGGATTCTTAGATATCTTGTACAAGGCGTAAATGTCTGGCGAGTGGGAATGGAAACTGTGCAATGGCTATGGGTGAGAGCATATCTTACTGTGGGCGTAGGCGTTGGCGTCTGATAGGACGTCGTCTAGCATATTTGTTGTTTTGGCTGTTCTTGGGTTTCGCCCATATTGTTTTTAGGCTCTGACGGAACCGTCGTTAGTCCTATATGTCCTTACTAGGCTCAAATCAAACCATTTCAAGGTATTTTGAGGACTACCACTCATATTACTAGGCTGCTGACGAACCCTGATGTCATTCTAATAAGTCTCAGCCTGTTGGAGAAGGCTTGGATGAATATGCCAATATGTTCCTGACTAGACCTGTTCCTAGCTTGCGTAACGTGTTTTTTGGGTTTTGACTGTAAGATGATGATAGTTTATTAGACCGCAACTTTTGCGTTTCCTCTCATTTTGAGTAAGAGATACATGAGTTGACCAATATCTGTAGCTCGATCTTGATCATCATGGGTCATTCGGTGCATTGTACAAATAGAGCCCAACATTGGTCTATCGTGATGATACTCGAATTACAAAGGTCCAGTTGGCCAAAAACCTCTGCCGAGTCAGAGCCTCACTCACCGTTACCTGTCACATTATATGCAGCATAATGTCATCCTCCACAGTCACGAATCTTGCTTTTCCCAATGAGACCAAAGGGCCATTCGCCTCCCGCTCTGATCATCGACTCATTCGGCTAAAAGGAACACCATCCAATAAAGTGACCCTCATGGCAATTGGCTTCGCTGGGGGCGAATAGTTCCCCTCGTGGACATTGCGGCCCAATGATGAGGGGCAGCGTGGTTAAAGGAAGGGTCCTTTGGTGTGGTGGGTTGGGTGAGTGAAGTCAATCAGCTTTGGGTGGGAAAAAGCAAGGTTTTGTTTTGGGGGGGAGGGAGGGAGGGAGTAGCCGAGACTGTGTGAGTTGTGATCCATATTATATCATGCTTAGAAGAAAAACTTGGAGTTTTGATATTATATCTCCATGGCTTATAAGTTACAGGTGGGTTGTGGTCTGTATGATCTCTTCGTGTTGACATACTAAAAATATTCAGAATTGCCTCTTGTTATAGCATGGAGTGTATTAGCTGCCGTAAATAAAACAGAAGCATGTATGTCATATTGGAAGCCTGACGCCAACATGCAGGGATCTAGGGACCTGCACCTCTGCCACCAACCCAACCAACATGATACAGCAATAAGACCTGAGTTATCTGCAGCATTCACCTTCAGCTCGCCCGGCCGCGCAACGCGATCTTCCCACTGCGTTTCCCATCCTGTCTTCCCACGGGTGAGACCCTTGGTTTCTGCTGGGGGGGAGGGCCAGGAGGGCCTCACTCAGGGCTGCTGCGTAACCATTCCCACAGAAGCCTTCAAAGAACGATGATCCTTGTCTCGTTCTTTCTTGTGTCATTCTGTTTCTGTGATAGTCTGTCTAGTCAGGTCATTAACTAGTTAGAACTGAAACTAACGTTGTTATCCGTCTTACATCCATTCCCATGTATAAGCCCGGCATTGTCCCTCCTCAGTCTGTCCTGTCAGCTCCTCTTATCTCTCACTCTCCCGCTCTCTCGCTGCCTTTTTTCCACATGCATATTCATGATTAGTCTTCACTTTGTTATTGCTTATTATTTCTCATATTTCGTGTCACTCGACTTCATTCCTCTCTCTCATTCTATGTGTCCTCAACTACTGCTGTGCTAGGTTACCATGCTTTCTGCTGAACCATCGTCGTCTCCGATCGCCGCCTTGGCCATGGATGGTGGGCATGTTGATGCGTTGCACAAGGGGAAGACGGAGAGTATTCAAATACCTCATGTCA